TGGTGGGTGAGAGGACTCACCAGAGACAGAGTGGGGAGCAGAAAGGCCGACTGATGAAGTACACTGCTGAGGGGGCAGCAGGAGAGTCAGGAGAGGTCTGCCACACCATATGGGTCACCTCCAGGGCGAGGATCGAACTCATGCTGAAGTGGCTTTAGCTTCTTAGTGCTGTGCTTTAACCTGCTGCACCACCAGGGAGGGGCAGACTTCTATTTTTAGGAAACTAGCTGGAAGGATTCTGTAGTTATGATAACCTTTCTTTTGTTTTTCCCAATGCTACATCTACTAATGGTTAGAGTTGAATTTTTCATTTCAAAATGTTTTAATTTTTTTCATTTGAAATGTTTTAAATGATATATAGTCACTCCCACTCTTCTTTAAATTGAATAAAAGTAATAAGAAAACTAATTTTTCCTGTTATATTTAGGAATGATTGATAAGAACTGTTGGGGGAAATTAGAGAAAAAGAATCTTTGTAAGAGATAGAGCAGCTTGGTTTATGGATGGTGAGGTAGGCATATATCAGAAAGCAACTAATGTAAATTTTTATGACACTTCTATTTTTTCTTTTATGTTTCTTAGGGAGACACACACATATCTGTTATTTTACCTACTGTTCATGAGGTGGATCTTTTTCGGTAAATAATAAAAAATTTTAACATCCTTTTATTTTGATTTGTGATGCAATTAGTAATTTCTTTACAAAATAAATCTTATAGGAGATGTGAAGGAACATAGTAACTGTGCTTCATATTTTATAAGTCAGTGGTTCATCCCCGACTACAAGTTATTTAGAACTTGATAGAAACAAATTATTTTTTGTTTAGTGTGAGATACCTTCCATAACCTCTGCTTCAAGTTATTTAGAACATGATAGAAACAAATTATTTTTTGTTTAGTGTGAGATACCTTCCATAACCTCTGCTTCATCTGTTGAAACACCCCATGTAGGGTGCACTCATACCCCATTCATAATCCTGTATTCCACACTAGACCACCTCTTCTTAGGGATGCCATCCTCACCGGGCTTGTGCTTTGACTCCAGATGCCATGTCAACCTCAGATGAATGCCTTCTTTACCCTACTCATGTTCTTACATCTCGCTCCAGACCACCATTCATGGAGACACCTGCATCCCTTTATGATACCTCACCATGGACAACCTCCTTAGCCTACTCTGGAGACTCTGACACACCATACTAGATTGCTTCTCCATGCTTGTCTCACTTCCTGAATTCTCAGTCCAAACCAGATCACCCCCACACATATACACCTCTTCACTACATTTGGACTGAAACAGCCTCACAGCAAACCACCTCCTCCACATGGACATCTGTCTTATTTCACCAAAGCCCTGACACCTCCCTCTGACTCAGCATGGCCCTCTTTTTCCTCCTGGCTGAGATGCCTACCATGTACTGTGTTCTGATTTAGAATTGAATTGTTTAGGGAGGAAAGAAGAAGAAAAGCCTTTTGCCTCATCTCTGAACTGTTTTTGTTTTTTACTCCCTTCACATTTGTATTCTTGTCTTTGAATATTAAAATCAACTTTCCCTAACTTCTGTCTCACAGATGTGTTGCATTTTTGCGCTTAAATATTTTTCCTTCTTCCTTCATCCTTTCCATTCTTACATATATGTGCATTTTCAACAGGTGGATTGATTGTGGGTTGTAAATAGACAAGTACCTTTTTCTTCCAATCTACTGGATAAAAGCTGTTACCCTATCAGGAAGAAACTACTAAATAAGTAAAAGTTGCCACCTGTCTGAGGCTAAGTAATGTACCAGAGTTGTGTCCTGATCAGTTTCTGCCTAGTTCTAAGACTGCTATAAAAACGTACAGCATTTTGGTAGGGATAGAATCTGCTCAGATCATTGTTGTTTGACATGAGAAATTTCCTTCTGATTTTTTAAAATCACTCTTTAATATTGAAAGCATTTTCTTTTAAACATGTCCAGTATCTTTTTTTGCAAATTATTTTTCCTTCAAATTAGAATACAATTTCAAATGTAATAAAGCAACATTGATAAAATAGATGTACTGCATAGTACAACTTAGTAATTATTTTATATGCTTTCATTAGCTGTTTTATTTTATAGTAATTATGTTTATTAGCTATTGTCTCTGCAATATATTGCATCTAATTTTGTAAAAATGGAATGAGTCAAAGGTTATATATATATTTATGTGGGTAAATGGGATTTATCTATATGTATTACCCTATTCTAAGTGAATTTGTATTTTAAATGAAGGGGCACATTGCAGGAAGAACTGATACTGTGAACTGTTTTGAATGATTATATAGGAACTGTATTATCAATTATCCAATAAAATTGGATAAATAACAATATTTCTACTGTAAAAACATCTTCCAGGTGTTTCTGCCCAGTTTTCCTTCACAGTCAGATGCTTTGGGAGCTGGTGCTCTTAGGTGAGCCCCTCGTGGTCATGGCGCCATCACCATCAGAGTCATCAGAGACTGTATTGGCACTTATCAAGTGAGTATGCTTGATTCCTATGTGAGTTGATAGCACTTTCCTGTCTGTGCAATGTTTGCAGTCTTTGAATTGATCCACACAATAGGCCTGTAAGAAAGGTATCCTATAGCATCATTTTATGGATAAGAAAATTAATTCAGGCTCTGTGAGCGTCAGAATCATGTTTTTGTTGTTCTGAGCAACAAACACATTGTTTCACTTACTGGAAGTTGTGTCAGTGGTCAGTGTCTAATAAAAGGTGTATTACTAATAAATGATAGAGCCAAAATTTCACCCCTGCTTTAGGTCCAGTGTTCTTTCACTATGCCATTTTGTATTGTGTTTCCATTTGTATTTCTAGTTTCCTGGAATATGTTTTCCATTTATTTAGACAGGTAAATTATTTGTTCCTTGAGGGATAGTGTATATATAGGTATTTTATAGTTATTGAGTGGGGCCTTTAATTATTGTGTCCTTTCTTTTACACCTTCTTCTTGCTCTCCACAGCTGTATTTCCCCATTAAAGTACTTCAGTGATTTCCGACCTTATTTCACTATTCATGACAGTGAATTCAAAGAATATACTACTCGTACTCAAGCCCCGTGAGTAAACAGAACAGTGTTTACCTATCAGTTGTTAAGTTTATAGCCACAATTATGTGAGATTGCTTTTGGTAATTTAAAAGTTTAAATTTTGAACTTATTGGAGTTTGATTTTACAGAGTAAGGTTTTGAGATGCTGCTGGATAGTTCGAGTCATCTTATTTTCTTTCAATGGTCTTATTAATGGAAGCTATATTATTCTACTTCAGTATATTTTATGGCATTGCTGATCTCCTTTTGTTCTGTGATCTCCTTTTCCCTCTTCCTCTTCCTTGACAGCATAAAAGGAAAATTCTTCCCAGTTTGTGAGGGAAAAGTATCATCTCACCCATCCCCTTTTAGGTCTTGCAACATTGCTTACTTCATTTTCATAGCTAAGTTTCTCAATGAGTAGCAGAATTTCCACTTACTGTCTCTAATTCTTGGTTTTCTGGTTTCTTCTCAATCTACTGAAGGTTGGTTTCTTTATTTCCATTGAGGTTGTCCTTGCTAAGATCATCAAGATCCTTCTTACTATCTGAACCAGTTGGTACATTATTGCCTTCTTTTTCTTGCCTTTTCCACTTCTGTAACAGTTAAGTTGTTGACACTGAAAAATATTTTAATCCTTGATAAACCATTTCCTGTACATTTCAGTTTCCTGTACAGTTGTTTCTTCTCTGCCATCCCCTTAAACATTGGTGTTCTCCAGTATTGTGTTCTGGGATCTGATTTCAGACTAATGATTCTTTCTGTACAAATTAAGCTGTATCTATATAGCTGTTGTTAGTGCCTATATACTGAGGGCTGAAACTAGCTCCAGACCTATATCCACATGTTGTTGGTTTTTACCACATTGCCACTGGAGTATCTTCATGGCATCCAAAACTAAATATGTTTAAGCTGAATTCTTCTTGTCTTCCTTTTTTCTTTGATAAGTCCACACCTCTTCCTATTTTCATGAAAGGTACTACTTCTCAGATTGTTATGAAAAACGTACTTTTCAAAAAAAATTTATGTATACAGGCCTGAGTTGCAGGGGGTGAGAGTATTCAACAGAGACAGAGTGGGGAGCAGAACAGGCAGATTGACAGACTACACTGCTGAGGGGAGCAGTGGGCGGGTCAGGCGAGGTCTCCTGCATCATGTAGATCACCTCCGGGGTGGGGATTGAACTTGCACTGAAGCGACTACTGCTCACTTGCAGTACTGAGTCCTAACCCGTTGTGCCACCAGGGTGGGCCCCATACATTTTCTTTTTAAAGATTTATTTCTTTATTCATACAAGAACTGGGGTACAAGCCAGAGGTGTGGGTGGGTATGAGAGGATTCACCAGACAGAGAGGGGAGCAGAACAGGCAGATCTACTGAAATACACTCCTGAGGGGAATAATGGGTGGGTCCGGAGAGGTCTGCCATGCCATGTGTATCACCTCCCTAGTCGGGGATCAACCTCGGTGCTGCAGTGGCTGCTGATAGCTTCATAGTGCCTACTTTAACCCATTGCACCACAAAGGAGGGCCCGAAAAACATGCATTTTCTCATAACATATCCCACACACAGGTTTTACCAAATTTTGCCCAATTCATCTTCTTAAAATGTCCTCATAACATTTGTTATCTTCTTTCCAATGACCTTTTCCCTGACTTACACCTCTGGTCTGTTTCATCTCCTGTTGCTTTTTTCTGAACCCCATTCTGTTTCAAATTTTATGCAGTTTTTCTAGTAAGTACATTTTTGTTCATGCGTTCCTCCACTCAGCTTCTCTTTTTGCCTAGAGTTAAAATATGGACTTCTTAACACATAGATATGTAATTTGGAATTTAATGATCTGGCCAGGGTCTGTCATCTACTTTCATTTCTGACTATTTGTATTTTCTGCATTTTGCTTTAGGAATATGTAACTATTTGTAGTTCTGCAAACAGACCATGATCTCACATCATTGTTTTGCACATACTATTCATTCTCCCATATCACCTTTACCTCCCTTACCTATTTAACAAAGAAAAATCTTTGTTTTCTTTGTCCAAATGCCTTTTTTTGGTGGGGTTGTTCCAGTCTGCTGATGTAGTATCTTCTTTGTAATGTTGAACATTTTAATTTTTTGGCATCATAATTGGATATGTATACCCTCTTATTGTGTGCTTTTACAAGGACTATGTCTTTTCAACTTTATATGCCTATTGCTAAACATGATGACTGGTATAAAGTAGACTTGTAACATAATGAGTAAAGGAAAAGATAATCTTATTTTTTGTTCACTGAAAAGAAATTATAAGCTAGTCTTTACTGATGGAACAGTCATCTTTTTCTTACTCTGTTTTTGTTTTGTTTTCATGTAGGCCCTCAGTCATTTTAGGAGTAACCAATCCCTTTTTTGCTAAAACACTCCAGCATTGGCCACACATTATTCGAATAGGAGACCTTAAACCTGCAGGTAAAGTATAAACTCAAGTGTTCTGTTTCACGTGTGGAATGTGGCTAAACAGATTTATTTTCCTCTTTGTCTTCATCTCTTGGCTACTTTTTAATTATGTTGATTACAGCCTTCTTTGAGACAACCTGAATAACGACCTTTGGAGAAGAGTTTAACTTCTCATTAAAATATACTTGCTTTATTAAGTGTAAATCATCATGTCCTCCTCCCCCAAAACTAAATTACAATGTTACAGACATTAAATGAATTATAACAAAACCTCAAAAATTTGAGCTACTTTTATATGTCTGTAAGTCCAGTTAATAGAGATTTCTAGTATTTTTGGGAAAACCTTATAGTAGCTCAGATTATTCATCTAGGCACAAAGTCTTGACTAGGTCTTAAAACAACTACTGTACCTTTCTGTGACACTGATCATGGAAGTGGTTGAAGATTGTGCTTTCCTTGAGGAAGAGCCATGTGGTTCCTTCCTCATGGTAGATATTACTTTGTTTTCTTTCTTTTTTTTTTTTTTTTTAAGATGTATTTTATTTATTTATGCATACAAGAACTGGGGTGTAGTCCAGAGGTACGGGAGTGAGAGGATTCACCAGAGACAAAGTGAGGAGCACTGAAATACACTGCTGAGGGGAGCAGCAGGTGAGACAGGAGGGGTCTGCTGCGCCATGTGGGTCAGCTCCCTGGCTGGGGATTGAACTCGTGCCACAGTGTCTGGTGATAGCTTGACACTTTTACCCTGTGCCACCAGGGAAGCCCTTTATGAGTCTTACAATTGAAAAGCTACTCTGAACTCTAGCAAGCAAAACCACAGCTTAAGTTTAAAGATGAGAGACATTCTCATTAGAATTAGTATATGGAAGTAGACTGAGAAAGTAAAAACTGACGCCAAGTGCATCAAAAACATTTCACAAATCTGAGTGTTTCTGGACTGTCTTGTTCTCTCTGTCCCAAAAGCCTTTTGGGTCTATTTGCATCTGGAACTTTGGAACTCTCTTTTTGTTGCCAGCTGTATACCTCCTGTTTTTGGTTGTTTTAACCTGGAGCAGTACTCTGCTCTGCATATATTTTATCCTCTGTTTTATTTCACTTCAACTCCTTTGTGAAACACAGCAGTTCTGTTCAGAACCTTGTTGATCTGTGGCTCAGACCTGTCTGTGGCTTTGGCATATACTATCACCTCCTGGTGGCAGTGAGTATGTTAAATGCAGGTTGTTCCTGTAATCTTACTCTCCTCATCCACTGCCTCTCCATGCCCCTGCTTTCAGTCTCTCAATTACTTTATGTCAGACATCTTTATAGTTCTTGATCTGAGTCTTGAATATCTCTCTAGTTTCGCTCTTGCCTTTATAGTGAAGTGGTTAAAAGTGATTGCTTTGGAATTGAACTGTTTTCCTTCTCATCCTGACTCAAACATGTTATATGTGTTCTTGGAAAAGCTGTTTCTGTGTCTAGTTATGATAGACCTAATGACCTGTTTGGTGGGGCATTGACCAATCAGGATGGATGATTACAGCAAATAGCTGCTATTGCTACACTCCAGGTGAATGTCAGTTACTACCATGTCTTAGTTTTTTCTTCTATGAAATGGGCATGATAAAAGTTACTTTTATTGTGAAGTTTTGAGTATGAAAATTCTTGCAGTACTGTTAGACCAGAACCTGGCACAGAGTGAATATTGAGTAAATGGTGCCTTTTACTGTCTTCACCGTATGTGACCTCTTTAAGCAATATGCATTTTCATACTTACAGATTTAGCTATTTATCTTAAAGATTTTTTTGCCTTCTCAACAAGAGAGGTTTTTATTCCTTTTACAAGACTGCTTAGCTATCACATCCTTTTGGAGTCCTCAATAATTTTTTCACTCTTCTTTGACTGGCATACTTTTCTATAGCTCTTTAGTATTTCATTTATAATCCTCTTACAACACAATTAACTTTTATATTGTTGTCTTTGTCTTATTTTAACATTAGAGTGGGAACTTTTTTAAGATTTGTTTTTGCATAGAAGAACTGGGTGTAGGTCAGAGTTTCAAAAGGGTGAGAGGATTCACCAGAAACAGAGTGGGGAGCATAACAGGTGGATCTACTGAAATACACTGCTGAGGGGAGCCGCACACAAGACGGGAGAGGTCTGAGAGGTTGGCTGTGCCATACATAAGTTTTGCTCCCTGGTAGGGATTGAACTCAGGCCATTGAGGGGGTAGTGCTGAGACTCAACCCCTATGCCACAAGGGAGGCCCCAGATTGGGAACCTCTTGATATCAGTAATTATTTCTTTTGTTACCAGTATCTCACATTTACTAATAGTTACTAAATCAGTAAGTGTGTATAGTGTTAATGACTTCCTTAGCAGCATCTAGTTAAAGTCATTTTTAGGGCACTTCATAAAATTTGAGTGTAGACTATATTATTCTGCAGCTTTTCTGTAAGATTGAGTTTATTTCAAAGTAAAAAGTTTATAAAAAATGTTTTACGATTGTACATGCTCTTACAATTTTTAACAATATAGGATTACAAGTGAAAGTGCTGTTCTACAATTACACTCTCATGATAACTGCAATGAGCAGCTTGATCTATATATGATTTAAACAAAGGCAAATTTGTAAATTTAGAGACATGAATTATATAATCTCTAGGTTGTCTTTTAGTTCTTAGGTTTTCTTATGCAGAGGAGGGGAAAACAGAGAAAGTTTGTTAAGTTAGTGTACTTTGACACTTCTAAGTATTTATTTTGGAACATTTTTCTTCCAAATTAAAGGGTTTTTGGATTGTAGCTTCTATTGTCCTCAAGACCAGGGCCATTATATATGCTATAGAAGTTACTCACAGTGGCCATGTCCACTGTAGTTTAGAACTGTGGTTCTGGCTTACACTGTCAAGTTTCTATAGACAAAAGCATAATCTGGGGAGATGTCAGAAAAAAATCTTTGAATACTACATCTGTATACTAATTTACAGGTTACTTTCAATTCTTTTTTCTCAAGATATTTTCTTCATATATGCCATATAAAATTTCATTTCATATGCATGGCACAAAGATTTTAATTTACATGTTGAGTGACAAAAAGGGAAAATTTTAAGTAATGGTAGATATTAATGAAAATCAAATATTCATTTTATGTAATTTATACAAATTATTTTTACTGAAGTGATACATATTGGTTTACCATACTATATGTGATTCAGAGGCACAGATTATTTCTTGAGTGTTATAGAAATTTAGTGATCCCTTTATATAGCTTAGTACCAAGAATACATTATTAAATATTAATTGATATTACGAAAAGTTTAGCTAATGATCAACAACCAGCTGATCATTAATTTTAGAATATTCCAGTTTTGTGGTATGTGAAAATTGAATAATTTTAGACTAATTTTTATCATGTTTCCTTCAGGTGAAATTCCTAAACAAGTTAAAGTGAAAAAATTGAAGAACCTGAAGACTCTGGATTCTAAACCTGGTATTAACTTTTATTAGTTTTTAAATCTGTATTTACATGTGTACTTGAGCCTTACTGTTTACCTTTTTTTTTTACTTTACTTCTTAGGAGTTTATACTTCTTATAAGCCATATCTAAATAGAGATGAAGAAATCATAAAACAGTTACAGAAGGTAATTATTTGTTCATATTATTTAATTTCCTTGTGCAGGTATGTATTGTTCAGTTAGACAGTGTGTACTTTATATTTAATAATGTGAAATGAGGTCGTCTCTTATTTGAGCCAGAAACTTAATAAAAACCAGGATACAAAAATAGCAGCAATTATGAGCTTGAATTATGTGACTACACTTCCAAACTTGTGCTAGTCTCCTTAGCAGATTGGGGGTTAGAGTAAATAAAGTTCTGGGATAGCTATTATTTATTAGAATATATAAATAGTATGAATACTGAAGCGTGAAATAAAGATAATCTTTACTGTGAGCTGATAAACTATGGGATGAATGTCTTATGTTGTGCTCTAAGGATTGTTTTCATAGAATATTGTACAATGAACATCAGATGAAAGTAATTCAAGATGATAGTGCTTGAGTTTTTTTAATATCAAGTAAAAGTATATATATCAGTGGCACTTTTATAGTTATCCATTGTTTTATAGTCCTTGATCCTAGAATATCAATTTTCATTGTTTCTTCTTTTAAGGGTGTACAACAGAAACGTCCTTCTGAGGCTCAAAGTGTTATTCTCCGACGCTATTTTTTGGAACTGACACAAAGCTTCATCATTCCCTTAGTAAGTCTACACACATATTTGCTTAATCTAATGATTTGTTGAAAGATAATGTGAATGTTTTTTCCATCTAAAACATTTAAGTTTTAAGTTGCCTGCCCATGTTTTTAGTGATTTAAAAGAACCCTTTTCATGAATGCTGGACTTTTTGTTCTTTTATTAACTGTGTAACTTTGATAACTTCTTATCCAACCCGCAACCTCTTTATCTGTTAAATGTGGCTAGTTTCACTTTTTCTGAATACCTTTTAGAGTTTTTGTGGATCTTAACTGAGGTAATTGTGAAATATATAGTCATTGCATTTTGCACCTTAAAAAAAGGTTATTCTGTGGCTCGGCAGACCTCTCCTGGCCTGCCAGCTGCTCCCCTCAGCAGTGTACTTTATCGACCTGCCTATTCTGCTCTCCACTCTCTCTGGTGAATCTTCTCACCCACCACACCTCTGGCCTGTACCCCAGTTCTTTAAGCATAAATAAATCTTAAAAAAAAAAAAAAGAGGTTATCCTGGAGCTTTCTTTGGTGTTACTTTCCTGTGCACAATTTGATTTAGTATTTACAAGACATGGCTGCATGATGAAGGGGCCTTATTTGTCTTGTCTTTTTCTCAGTCTGTCATTTGGTAGCTCTTAGTAAATATTTGTGGAATAAGTGATTGCATGATACGGTTGGCACATCATATTAACCAAAAGGTGCCCCACAATATTAGGCAGTATGGTGATGTGGTCCTAGTCTAGAATCTATAGAGATTCCCTATAGTTATTAATGTGAAGTAATCTGCCTGATTATATGGGGCCATTCTGGAGGTGTTTGCTATTTTATTATATTTTATTAAAGATTTATTTATTTATGCATACAGAACTGGGGTACAGGCCAGAGGTGCAGGGGTGATGAGCGGATTCACCAGAAATGGTCAAGAGTAGAACAGGCAGATCTACGAAGTACACTGCTGAGGGGAACAGTGGGTGGGTCAGAAGAGGTCTGCCGTGCCATGTGGGTCACCTCCAAGGCAGGATCGAACTCAAGCTGAGGTGGCTTTAGCTTCTGAGTGCTGTGCTTTAACCCGCTGCACCACCAGGGAGGGCCCGCTATTTCTTTTTAAGAAATAAAATTTTCTTAACCTATTGGTTGTCAGTTAATTCTGTTCCATTTAAATCCATTTTTAAAAGTAAATGAATGTTCACAATAGTGCTGGGGCTTGAAGTCAAGTAGTACTGAATTCAGGTTCAAACTGTGTGACTTTGGGCAGATTACTTAGCCTTTGTTTGCAGGTCTCAGTTTCCTAATACTATCTGCCACATTGAATAGTTACAAAGATTTAAAGAGTTCATGTATGCAAAATCTTGATTTTATTTTCTGGCACTTACTAAAGTTTATCATTAAAAACATGTAATCCCTTGAATTATCTAAGATTTAGTTTTTATTGAAAATCTGATGTCAGTCTAAATTTAGTAGTATTTATTGAGGGAAATGAAGGTATTGATGACGTCCATTGAAACAGCATATGATGAAAAATTTGGAAACCCATTTTTTTTTGGTAAAGATTTATAGATTTATTTATTTATGCATACAGAACTGGGGTATAGGCGAGAGGTGCTGGGGCAGTAAGAGGATTCACCAGAGACAGAATGGGGAGCAGAACAGGCAGATCAAGTAGTACACTGCTGAGGGGAGCAGCGGGTGGGTCAGGAGAGGTCTGCCTTGCCATGTGGTCACCACTGGGGCAGGCAGGTATCAAACTCATGTGGAAGTGGCTTTAGCTTCTCAGTGCTGTGCTTTAACCCCCTGTGCCACCATGGAGGGCCCTGGAAACCTTTTTTTTTTTTAAGTAGATCTGTTAAATTTTTTTTAAATTTTAATATAGTAGTTTATTTTTACATCATTTTGTGCCTTTTTCCATCTCAGTTGTAAACCCCGTGGGCTTCCCATCACCATATCACCCCCGTGCCATCACCATAGTCCAGTGCACTTCCCTCCCCCCACCGTATTAAACATTTTTTTAATATTAACTCTGGTAAGGACACCTAACTGATTTTTTCTTGGTTTTAGGAAAGATATGTGGCAAGCTTGATGCCTTTGCAGAAAAGTATTTCTCCATGGAAGGTATAAATACATTCAAGTAAATCCCTATTTGAATTTTCTAATGGAAATGAACTTCTGTACATACTTCTATTTCTAAATTTTAAATACATTATGTGTTGCTTTTTAGAGTCCACCCCAATTAAGACAGTTTCTTCCAGAAGAATTCATGAAAACACTTGAAAAGACAGGACCACAGCTGACCTCTAGGATAAAAGGCGACTGGATTGGACTTTATCGGTCAGTCTGTTTTTTCTCTTTCACCCAGCTAGAGAGTTTGATCTAAAAACAAAACAAAGCAAAAAGCTGGGCTTAAGCATATATATATATTTTTTAAACTTAAATTTTTTTTTAATTCCATTGTTTTTGTGTGATTTTTCTGAGCAATAACTGGAAAGATATGGAGGACATAATGAAACTTTACTTTTTCAAAATTTATTTTTATAGGCATTTTCTAAAATCACCTAATTTCGATGGTTGGTTTAAGACCCGGCGGAAGGAAATGACGCAGAAATTGGAGGCTCTCCATCTAGAAGCTCTTTGTGAAGAGGTTAGAAAATAGCATGTTTGTATGAGGGTTAACCACTATTGAAAATAATGATAAAATATCCTTAGAATCTGACGAATTTTACCCATATACACTACTTTGTAAATAATAGTTAACTTTTCTAAATCATATGCTCTATACCAAAATCTGTGTAGGTGTTCTTTATTGATAATAGACTTTAATCTTTACAACAGTTCATTAAAATAGGCATATTATTGCATTATGGGATACCTAAGGTTTGTTAAGTGATTTGTTTCAGATCACATCATTGCTAAGTAGGGAAGCTGGCAGTGTGCTAGAGCTCACTTGCACTGGGTCATAAGATCTCTACATACATATCTTGGTGATCTCAGGTTGGTATTGGAAATTAGCTACTGTGAGAGTATTATGCTATAGACTGGCAAATGCTACAAACCAGAAACTTTGGAGAATTAGTTGTTAAATATTTACAAGCATACCACTGCCTGGAGTTAGGATTCAAAATCAAGTAATCCAGCTTCATATCTTTTCCAGCAACCTTTTTCTTTTCCACTGCTACTAACATTTCTTTCCTTTATTTGGACTGATGTTTTTATATTCCATAATTTATCACTAGACTATTTTAAATTAATCTACTTGTGAAAACAGTAAGGCTATTACCATTTTCATGTGCATTTAACTTGAAGTTGACTAGCTTCAGTGGTTACTTTTTCTTTAATTTATATGTTTTTTAACATCATTGTTCATTCTCTTGGGTATATGTAATCCCCATAAAATTCAGTGCTAACTTTCTAGTCTTCAGCTCTCAGTGATTGTCATTTTGAGAGAAAGCATACAATGAAGGCAATTACAAATAAGTCCAAAAAGACCTTCTATGAAGATGCAAAGTTGATGTCCAATAATATATTAATGTTCCTCGTTATCTTTATTTGTTAGGTAATGTTCCTTTTAAAGTAGTCACTAATTGGTGGGGATAAGAATTAGTATTATATTTTGGATTTGCAGTTTTGGTTTCTTTGATTAATCTAAAAACGTCACCTCAAAAATGAATTTTTTTCTTCCAAATATTAGATCACCATTCTCGCTAAAGTTGAAAATTATCTACTTAACATTCTTAAAGTGTTAATGTACAGAATTACTCTTGTACTGTAATACTTTTCTCTTTCTTTTCTATTGTTTTTTCCCAGTAGCCTTCCCTATTGGTAGAGTTCTGTTTGAATATTATTCTGAGTACTTGCTGATTTGAGATTTATTAAATCTTTCAGGACTTACTTCTCTGGACACAGAAACACACAGAAGTAGAAACAGTAGACCTTGTATTGAAGTTAAAAAATAAGCTGGTATGTAATAAACAAAGACTAAATTGACTTTTCTGTGAAGATATTTTCTTTTCATTTGAGATGACTATGGTGTATCACAAACTTAACTTTTTTTTTTTTAAGATTTATTTATTTGTGCATACAGAACTGGGGTACAGGCCAGAG